CACATTAAATTACAAAGTATTTTTTTCTGAACAAGGTTCTCAAATATAAAAGGCCCTATTAATTAATGAGGAAACAAAGTAAGCAATTCCTAATTTAATTTTAAACTTAGGTTTTAGCTTCAGGTTTGTCATTGGGTTCACATTGTCCAAATCATTAAAATGAATACACCACTGGGGTCTAAGGCAAATCTATTTACAGTGATGTTACTCATAGTCTGGTTGGTGTTCAGGAATATTGATCTGTCTTGTTTGTCTAATAGGAAAATAATAAACAATTACTAGGCAATGTTGGAGAAAGTAATCAGTTTTTATATATCACTAATACAGCAGACCTCCCAAAACATAAAGGTGATGATCTGCATAAAATCAATGTGTTATGCTACATTGCTTATACTTATCACTGCAGATATTCTCAGCAATAAATGGTGTAAGTCTGGAACTGAATCATTAGTACACTGAAAAGATGCATTTAAGAAAAAAATACTTGTTCTATTTAAAGAAAAATAATGTAAATGTATGTTAAAATGTGAATATTTCAATATGATGTAGAATTTAAAAATAAGAATGAAGCATGTTGGCTTTTTGTACCAATTATGAATTTCATTGACTAGAACTTTCTCCTTTACTATGTCGAAACAAAGCTGGTACCACAGCAACATGCTGTTCTGTAAGATAAGCTTAGATTCTGAAGACTCTGAATCAGCTCCTGAATACCACCTGCCATTATCATCATCCAAAAAAGCACTGTAGTATAATTGTATCAGCCAAATGTCATAGGCATCTTGTTGGGGAAAGGTCATATTTTTAAAACTTCTGCACTTCAGGATTAAGTGTACACATTAATATCATATCAAGGGCTGTTATGAAACATGTTTTCAACATAAAAAGTCCTCCCACAAAGAAGAGAACTTTATTTCAATAGTGGTCCTTCTTAAGCAAAGGGCTTATGGCATGCATAAATCATATATGTCCAATTTTAAAGAATTTATAAGCTTGCCATATTATCCCTCTTGATAGCTATATACATTCTCAATTGTTATTTAAGAAACATTAGAACAGGAGAATATTTGTACATAAGCAGATGGGTAGTAAGCTAGGTAGTAAGTAAGCTTTCAATATTTCTTGCAAGTTATGTTAAAGGAGCAGGCAAGACTTAAAGGCAGACTCGTTTTATGACCTGGGCAAGAGTCTGGACTGCTGTTATTTTTACATGAATTTAAATGCTGCTTGATAAAGGCATTTTTAGCAAGCACTTGGGTTCACTGCTTACTTATATCAAAATGAGGCACTCAGATTATTGGTGGCTTTTGAGCATAAAAATATTATATAAATGAAAATAAGTAAATACATGAATCAATCTATCTATGTAGCTATCACACATGCGGCGTGCACTCCAAACTTTACTGAGCCAGCCAGCTTCCCATTTTCCCCTTCCTCCTCAACTGCTTTTTAAAAATTAGGATAAGATTTCTCCAACTTGTAAGCCTGAGGGTAGCTTAACTAGCTAACAGGCACTATAATCACAACATGGAGACCCTGGACCATCTGGGTAGCTCTTGAGAAGCACAGGCTTCTCTCGCTTTATGCTGTACATGCTCTCCTGGAAAACGGCACCTAACTCAAATTCGCGTAAGGGAACCCACTTTACAATGTAACAAATAGGGATACGTTCCAAGACTTCAACTATACTGACCCCCAGATCCATTTCTAGCATTTTTACAAGACAATTTTGGTACTCACCAACAGCAGACAGTACACACAAGCACAGGGCACTGTCATAATGGGGATGGCAACTACAGAAACACGTTGCAGACAACAAGGTAGGAGTACAGATCCACACAGAAGACTGTATTTTGATGCGTGCCACTCCCACAATGCACCACACAAAGCAGTTGACTGCAGGCTTCCACCACACCGATCTCATAAGAGTGAATTTACCTTGCATATAACACATTTTTTATATAAAAAGGGTCATCACATAAGAGCAAATTTGCACATACAGAACCTGCATAAAGCGAGGGAAACCTATACACCACGTCAACTATGTGGTATTCTTTCTTGCAAGGAAGGAACAGTTATAGAATGGGCTGAGTCTTCCTTATAGAACATAGCTCTTATGTGAATGTTGTGGGTTTGGGAACCATCAGGGTTAGCTGCATCAGAAGCAGAAATGGAGGTAGTCCTAACCAAAACAGGTATTTATGCTATTAAGAAGCAAATGTTTCCAGTTGTTTAAATTTATCCTTAGAAAAGACGTAATATGTCAATGCACAGGACACACAGGAATCCTTAACACACACACGCTCATGCAGGCGCGCGCACATGCGCACATGCAGGCAGGCTGTGAAAAAAGAATAGTCAATCTCATGGTATGGACATTTTAGCTGCTCATAGTGGGAGCATGCAGCAGCTGTTATAGCATAACTGTCAGGTCTGCAAAATCCTGTAACAATAAAAGTTAGCTAACTTTGACCCTGAATGAAGCAGGGTTAAAAAGTTGAAGCAATATTCCTGTACCTGCACTACCAAAGAATCACGTAGATGTAAACATGCGTGTCATAACCAGGGATTCTGGTTTTCTCTATTTAAAAATTGCAAATTCTCTGATTAAAACCCCCCAAATCCATGTTTTTCTGTGATTAATGTGAAACACCACTCTATCCCTCTCTCTATCAAATGAACACAATATTATATTGATGTATTTACAATTTTAAAGCAATTTGGAAACCTACCACTACCCCCTGTGTTTCACTAAACACTATAATGAAATAAATGATAAATACCTATACATTTTAGAGTTTAATTTTGGGGTTTTTATCATGGAAAATCAGAGCTCCCCCTGCCTCCCTCGCTCACCAGGACGTGGATCCAGCTGCAGCTGTCCCCACTGTACTGCTTTGTGACGCTGAGCAGCGCTGATATGCTGGTGCCCTGCCTATGCCTTTGCCCCTCACCCCTAAGCCACACCCCACCAGCCCTGGTGATGCCCCTCACTCCCCCCCCCACCCTTGCTGGTGCCCCACACTCCCTCCCTACAGCCCCTCTAGCCCTGGTGTACCCTCCACTCCCCACCCACAGCCCCCTGGTCCTGTTGGTGCCCCTCACTCCCCAACCACAGCCCCCCCACCCCCAGTGTCTGAACCTCAGCTGCCAACTGTGGGAGGCAGTGGCTGCTGTGGCAGAGCACAGCAGGGAGCCCAGATCCTCCTCCTCCTCCACAGCCAGAGCAGACCCCATGGGAGAGGGAGGGGCAGATATGGGCTGCTCGCTGCAGACTTTGGGCTCTCTGCCCTGCTGCCCTCCCCCTGGGGCCTCTGCGGCCTAGCGGACAGGACCCGGTGCAGCAGGGCAGAGCAGGGAAGCTCACTGCCACTGTTGCGAGCTCCGTGTTACAGTGACGGGCACAACTCCATGCCACCACCCCTGCTGCCAGCAGGGGACGTCTCTCTACGACAGTGCAGGGCTCACGGCAGTGGCACCGAGCTTCCCTGTCCCACTGTGCCCTGCTGAGCCAGGTCCTGCCTGCTTTGCTGCGCCCCAGGAGCAGGGCATTAGGGCAGGGAGCCCTGAGCTCACAGCAAGCAGCCTTCCCCCACCCCATAGCCTTCCCCGATCCTGCACACAAATCTGGGGGGCACGTGCCTCCCATGCCCCTCCCCCCAGGAGTGCGTGCAGTGGCAGGGAGCCACTCCCCCACAACAGCTCTGTCCCATTCCCTGCCTTGACCCTCCAGCTGCACATGGCCCTAGACCCCAAGCCCCACACATTGCCACAACTGAACATCAGCCCTAGCCCCAAACCCAGCCCAGACAAACTCCCTTTCTCCCTCACTATGGGGCCTCAATCCCCTCCCTTGCCAGACTTACCTGCAGGGACCTGCTCTCCAGGCTGCCTGACAGCCACATGCATGTGTTATATGCGCACATGCACATGGCGTCCCCTGCCTGACTGCCCTCCTCCCACTCCCCCCAGCCCCTTGCTGGCTAGAACACTGCCAGCCTGCAAGGGGAAACACAGTATTTTCTGTGGTTTTGTCTTTAAAATGCAAAAGTCTGGGTTTTGTCACATTTTTCTGTGGTGAACAGAAAACCCAGATCCCTGGTCATAACATCTTCTACTGGTATCCTTTGATAGTAATACAATTGTTCCATCTGTGATGACTTCTGTCAAACAGAGCAGTGGTCACTCCAAGATGTTGATAAACAGCACATATATCTGTGCACAGGCTACTTTTCCTTAGCTCCATCATGTCTCCTCTGAATTTTAACATTAATAAATAATCCATTAAAATATGCTTCTGGAAATTCAGTAATGTCAAAGGGCAGATCCACCTACAGCCTCAGAGTTACCAAACCACACTAGTACAAAAAAAAGCACAACAGAATGAAGACAAGGGGTAGGTATGTTACAGAACAAACTGATTTATTTAAGGCAGTGGTTCTCAACCTCTTTACAGTTAAGACATCCCCTCTTGTTACACTGATGACACTGCTAAGAAAATCCCAGCTTTTAGTTTTCACTAATTTTTTGACTACAGAAAAATAACAGAGTAATTCTTCTGTTGCAAAGAACTAAGACCACAACAGGTCAAAATGTTTTTGACTTTATGGGTTCCTATTTGAAATCTCTGGGTTTATCTTGAGATAACCATAAGAATACCAGGTGACTTATGAAAATATATATTAATTTGTATAAAATATCAAACTTTTATCTAGCACTTAGAAATGACAGAAAAACAGCGAGTCTTGGTGTAAAAGCAGCAAGATAGCTATAGCTCATTTTTTAAAATGCATTTCAGGTATCCATTATATTATGAACTATATTGTGCAATTCTGTAACAAAACAACAAAAAAAATCAATAAATCCTTTGTCCCTATATTTTCAGATAATATTTCAAACTGGTTAAAAATCATATGAAGGCAAATCCAAATAGAATAAAGTTACCAATATAGTTTCTATTTCCATGCAAATACTATAAGTTTTTTTTTTAAAGTACTTACCATAATTGGAAACTGGCAGTCTGAGTAGAATCACAGAAGTCAATACCCACTGAAACAGTAATGGATCCCTCAGGCTCAAGAGATTCTAGAATAAAGCATTTTAAACACAAACTAAGCAAGCATGCAACCAGTAAACTGTTAGCAAACATAAATAAAATGTTTAATATGTAAAAGAAAAAAAAATCAAATGCTTACAGCTAATTTAAATTTCAGCATGATCTGAACAAATTCTGAATTTTTGTTTTTGAGAAGTCCTTAAAGAAACTTTCTTCAATAAAAACATTTTTAATACTACAGTTTTACAGCTACACTGTCAAAGAACAACGGGATTGCACTAACACAGCAGGGGTACATAGTGAAAGGAAAACAAAGTTCAAATGTTATCTTTTTGTTTGTAAGCAGTTCTTTCATTTGAATTTCATTTAGAGTTACAGTGTTAATCAGTCAGTTTCCAACATGTAAAGCATGAAATATTTTTTAAAATGTTAGTAAAATGCACATTACTATATACCATATTAAAAATTCTATAGTCAGTTTGGTTTATTTCTTTCCTTCTATTTTTTTGCATTGTTATAGATAGATTAGAAAGATTATGGGATGTAAAATGGATCCTCCCCCCCCTTACAAGCAATGGAGAAACATGGCACTTCGTGGATTACAGCATGAAGAAGAATATATCTACTGTTAGTTTCTTGAACATCAGAGCTAAATCACTGTACTATGCAGATGATTTGTTGGATACTGGACCCTCCTTTGATACAGAAAGGACTGGTTGGATACTGGTTGTCAGATGAGAACAAACTAGTGGGGCCTAGGAGAAAATACACAGAAACAGACCAGCACATGCCACTACAGGAAAATATGGCAAATTACCAGCAGGCAGAGGAAAACTTTTGTAATGGTTTTTCAATCCAATTTTAGCATGTTCCATATTTTCAAGAACTCAGAGACCAGCTGTTTAAATGACAAGCAGAAATATAAAGTCTAACTGCAACAAAGTAAAGTCTGGAAGAATGTAGGATTTTTGGTTGTAGCCATGTTGGTCTAAGGACATAGGCAGGCAAAGTTCTTTGAGTAGATGTGGTATAATAAAAGATATCACATCTAGTCAAAAAACCTTGCCTGAGGAATGTAGGAAACACTTGGATAGAAGGTGAATTCAAATGAGGTAGAACAAAAAAGTGATAACAGAAGGTGCTACAAGATAAAGTCTATGTTAGGATTTATACAGCCCCACAAAAGGAAAAAAAACTCCCTACACGTGTCTGTAGCAGCAAATATAAGATCATTTGTCACTATTGCAAATCTGCCAGTGACAACGACAGTTGAGACTGCTGAGATGACTGAGAAGATGCTTTCATAGAAATGTGTGACTGCATTGCAGCTTCTTTTGTTTTCAAATGTATAACTACAGGACCTAGTTTATTTTCTTAGTACAGAAAGGATCCTTGAGAAAAAAAAACACAAGTAGAATTTTAATTAGAAATAAACTTAAAGTAATAAAACTTCAGATCCATAACAAAATGAGAATAAAATGCAGAAAACTCAAATTTAAGTAAATATAATATCAGAAGGTCACATACACAGAGAAACTGAGGTAACTAAAATGGTCAGCAGAAGAGATACCACAAATAACTGTGCATTTTAACAGAAAAAAATACTATAGGAAATTAGGACATGAGGACCAAGTCAGAAAAGGTCAAGAAATCTCAACTAGCTAAAGTACACATCCATTTCAAAATTGGGGGGCGGGGAGGGTGGGTTTTTTTTGATGGGGAGAGACAAAAGTGGCAAAAATATTAGATTTATGGATTCTGGTGAAAATGCCTATTTTTAAAACTGTTTTATGCAAGGCACTCCTTGGTTTATTTAGTTTTCACTCATCAGGGTTCAGAATATTTCTTTGTAAATTTTAGAAGAGAAGAGCAAAAATTGCCCTTTTGATGGAGTTGCAATCTTCTATTTGGAGAGTCCATTGCTTCTTCACATTGACAACGTAGCTCAAGATAACAACATATTTATATAGCCCAATAAGCAGATACTACTCCATTCAATTTATTACCAAATTCAGATTTTGTCTCTAGAAGTACGTCTTAATAGCAGCATGTTTATATATCAAAATCCAACTGATTCCAATTTTTCCCCTAAAAAATAAAAGACCACATTTTGTGTGCAGCAGCATGAAAAACATGCCATAGAGAGCAGGAAGAAGCAGCCAGGTATCATTTATGTTCCTTTGTACAGAAAATAATTAGAGATTCCATTTTTTTTTAAAGGATGTGAACATAACTGGTTTTTCATCTCATTGTCCTAAACCTCCAGTTACCATTTTTCTAAGATCATAGAATCTTAGAAGTGTCAAGAATAACTAAGAGGTCAGCCAGAAGAAAGAAATTTTGCCTGGTTCCAGAAGATCCTTTTTTAAGTAAACTGGAGGAGGACACATCAGTCATTTGTTAAAAATGCCACTCCTAGCACTGTGGCTAATCTTGCTCATTCAGTATTTGAAAGCTCTCTTCATGCCAACCACAAGAAGTTTTGTTTTTTTTTAATTGCTCCTCTCAGACACTGACCAATTAAAGGTCAAATCTCAACAACCTGTTATGTCAGCTTCCTGAAAAGTTAATACTGTTCATAGATTCATAGTGTTCTACTATGTTAACCTCTATATAAAACCTTTTCAATGCTTAGTGTATCACCACTGTAACCTGAAAACAAAGCTTATTTTTTTAAACTTAAAGATGGCTTACCAGCTAGTTAACTGTTGTTTAAGAGCTGCTTTTGTGCACTCCTATTACTGGGACATGGCACCTGCAAAATTACACACAGAAGATGCACCCACTTGGAGAAGTGCCCTTACATTAGGGGGACTTCGACAGTATTCCCCTAATCAGTATTGTGATTCTCTGCCACAATGCTGTTGAACCATCGGGTGCCGCCTTAAGATCCTTTCAAGAATGCCAGAGCCACACACAGTGTTGGCACTGTTGGGTGTGCAAATATGATTCACAAGATAAAACCACAGATTTCAAATAGGAATTCATAGTTTTAAAAACATTCTGACCTGTTGTGGTTTTTCTGAGTTCTCTGTGACAAAAGAATTGCTCTATTATTTTTCTGTAGTCAAAAACAAGTAAAAGCCAAGAGCTGGTATTTTCCAAGGGCTGCTTTTGAGTCTAAAAAGGTTGAGAGCCACTGACATATACAGAAGTACATTTACTTAAGCTCCTTCTCCCTAGACCAGGGGCTGGCAACCTTTTTGAAGTGAAAAACTGCCAAAATAATGGAGTTTGGTGTGGGGAAGACTGACTGGTACTTGCAACTCAGATCTTGCTGATGAATTGCTGCCAACTTGCATCTGACCTGATTGCTCCTGAATACTGTTTCTGAATCCTGCACCCTTCAAAATTGCCCCAGAGCCAAAACTGACCTTGGGGTTGTAGACTGTAGGCTGTTAATCCTAGACTAGACAATTGTGAAATAAAAAGAACTCCTCAGTAGAGGGAAGGACAGACACTCCTTGAAGGAAATAACTTTTTTTTGTTGGTGAAGGGTTCACAGTAACAGGAAATTGGCAAGTGGGGGACAAGGAGTTTTAGGTAAAAATGAAACGTGGCACCTCTTGACTAAAACAAGAATAAGCACAAAATGCCAAACCTAATCACTAGTTCTTTGTAACAGCAAACTCCATCTTGTGTTACAAACTCTTGTGAAACAAACTCCATTCTGTTGCTCTGAAAATCTCTGCCAGGGAAACTTATCTTAAATAAGCTATGAAAGTAATAACTAGCTGGAGTGGGACAAATCTTTAACCCGATGTGTACATTTCCCCTGTAAGCCACATTCTAAATTCCTAAAGTGTTTGTGGGATTCTAAACATCATTACAGGGCTCTTAACACCCAGTAAGTATAAATAAGACTCCCCTGGGCAAGCATGACTTCTGGGAGAGAAAATGGGGAGGGAGGTATATTGTGATAGTGGAAATAATCAGAGATAATCTTAGGCATAAAGTTAGAATCAGGCCTTAAAACAACTGTAGATATGGGTAGAGTGGTCATCAAGACACTAACCTCACTAATCATCCTAGCAGAAAAAATGGCTATTAAGAACTCTGTTTTGATAAACAGATGTTATAAGTAGCCTGTTTATGGTGGAACTGCAAGCAATTTAAAAGCTAGACAAAGTACCAGAATTTGGAATAGGGATGATTGAGATTCCCCTCAATAACAGGCGCTGTTCAATGCCTTGAGGAAATATAAAAACTGTGAGGTGAGAAAATATAGATTTATCCCTGACCAAGCTGTAGTAAACAGAGACAGCTGCCAAATGAGCCTTGAGAGAAGGTACAACTGGTCTCTGTGATTTCAAGTATAACAGATATTCTAAAAACTGCAGATACTCACCACCTTCAAGGATGACAGCCCTATCCTTTTAGTCTTTTCCTATATAATCTGTGTTTATTTTGATCCATATAGCATTTCAGGGTTGATTTCTTCCTAGACTGTAACAACTTTGATTTTGATCCTCTGTGAGCAGTGGTGGCCCACGGTAGTGAGCAGATTAATCTCGATTCAGCTGGATGAACGATCTCTGGGTTTGTGTGAAGAATCCAGCCTCATCACTAGGCAAGAAGGTGTGGAAGTAGTGGAAGATGAACCAGCAGTAATGCAGACAGTTGGAGAGAAGCTGTGTAGTGTAGCTGACCTGACTGGTTTGCCTTTTGAATACAGAGATCAAAGGAATGGAAGGGGAAGAAGTAGAAAAGAGGGGACTGCTCCACTTGTGATTTTCTGTCCCTGTTAGTCCTGGTGTAATACTGGTGGCAGCTGACATTTAGACACATGTAAGCTGATTAACTTTTACCCGCTTTGGGAAAGGATTTGTACAACTTCCTGCTTAGGCCATCTATGTGCACATTATTTTTCCCTTCTGGGAATACTGCTATCAGATAATAATTATGAACACACTAGACACATGGTGTTTTTGCTCCTGAAGACAGGTTTTTGAGAGCTTGTTCCTTTTTGTTTGCCAATATAACAAAAAGGAACAGCCATGGTCAACAGTAGATCAAAGATTTTGAAAAGGAGGATGTAGTCAGGACTAGACTTGGCTTCTAGGGTTGGCAGGGTGCAGCAGGTGCCACTGGCTGCCTGCCTGACTTGGGAAGATGGTCTTGGCAGCCAGTTCCATCAGGATTGGGCCACTGGCTCCTGCAGACAGCAGGAGTGGAGGAGGAATTGAAAGATGTGATCATACCACCACACACCATCTGGATTTACCCTTGGTCATACTATTGTCTATGAGCACTTGAACCACCTGATGTTGAAAAGAAGCTGATATTGAGTTCCAGAAAACTGATATGTAATATAGGCAGTGAACTATTCCAGTGGCTATATAAGGTACTGGCAATGAACACTCCCCATCTAGGTCTGAGGCTACGTTCAAAGCATCTCTTTTCTGGAAATCTGTCCCTTTCTGTAGGAAGGGTCTAACTTGAATGAAGTCCAGGGGCACTCCAATAAAAGTGTTCCTTATATAGGCTGAAGAGAGGACTTCTCTCAGTTAATGAGACCACCTACAATGCATCTGACCCCAAAGAAAGATAAAAAGCTAGCTATCCAGGAAAATGAAATATAAATATGTCCCCCACCTCCATATATTTAACTTGTATTGGAACTACTGAAAATTATTTGGCGAATACTCAAAGCATAACTGAACAGGACAAGGAATTGGAAATGATTCACTCCCACACAGAATTAGGACTGCTTGATGTGGAAGCAAGCATCTTCTAAGTCACGGTACACACCAGTTTCTTTGGACAGCGATATCATTATATCTCCCAGTGTTAACCCATATAAAGTCTTCATGCTTGGGATGCTGAGTTTTCTCAAGTCACAGATGATTCTCCCTTCCTGGAATTAGGAAAAATATGATGTTGAGTTTATTCCTGAGGGTGCTACACATGATCCCTCTCAAGAGCACCCCTATGAGAAGGGTGCTTATTTCCTCTGATATGAGTTTCTTATGAGAAGAGTCCCCAAAGAAGACGGGGGAAGACAGTAAAGAAGTCTGCTGTCAAACTGGAACTATTAACTATCCTTAATAGCATCTTGTACCCAATCAGAGATAATAATCTTACATCAGGCATTAAAGGAAGAGAATTAGACAAGATGTACTTTTCCCTATGGAATCTGAAACGCTCAAGCATCTGTCAAAAGTGGTCTTTGGGAGTTGCTGGCTGGCAGAACATGCCAAAGGGAATCTGCCTCTCTGCTGCATTTTTCATTTTGCTCTTTATTTAATGCTACTTTACAGACATGCACATACACTGGAGGCTAGGTATTGCCCCTGAGACTGGGTATTCCTTCAATGTTAACAGCAGAGAACTTTTTCTGAAGCTGAAAGTTTGCATAACATGGCTTTCTTTTGGCAGCAGATGCAGTTTGGCAGAACCCCAGAGACTCTAAACTTTGATTTCTTCCAGACCCTCTTCACTAATGGGTAAATATTTGATTACCTTTTGGGAGCAACTCTGAACTTCAAAGCTATGATTATATCTGTATAACTACACCAGTAGGCATAGCTGTATCCTCTCAATCTGAGGTGTTATAAATTGTCCTCAGAACATTACTGGCTGTAGAGACCAGCACAGAGTTATCTGATCAAACCTGAAACAACTCATGCTCTTATACAAGGGTACACAAGACATTCCACTTAAAGCCAGGCAGGGAAACAATTGTTCTTTATCTCAGAAAATCCTAAAAGAAAGGCAAATGCAACTTTGCTTTTTTTCTACCATTCCATAACATCAAGATGGCCTGATACACCTATAATTGGAGAGTAATGGCTGTTCTCCAAAATAAGATCCTGAAATTACTTTTATTTGAAGAAAAGAATAGGAAGCCCTAATGTGGTCCTCAGTAGCAGTATATCCAGTATACTCCTCAATGAGCAATTGCTCTAAGTGGAGTTTCTTCACAATGCAGAAGTATGCTGGACTCTGGAATGTGGACCATGTCTAAGACAATGGCAGTGGGGGTAGATTCAATGTCTACTCAAGTGCGTGTGGTGCCAATGAGTATGCTGTTCTGAGTTTGAAAGAATACTCAGTGACTGAATTTAGGGCCACAAGAATAACTGAAGAGCAGCCTTCATAATGTCTTTCTGTACTAATGGAGTCTCTGGTGAAGAAGGAAAGCATTTGAGCTTTCTACAACGGGTTGGAAGAATGTATACTGTTAATTCCAAAGAGATTCCATATATTTCCAGGAGTTTCCAGGATGAAGCTGATGGCAAAGGTTGCTGGGCAGTGTTTACAGTGGAGGCACTGGAAACGGTAGTGATGGAGAATTCTCTGTGACAGAAAAACAATGATATTTGAGATAAACATGTTGATGATGAGTGACTTTGGCATCTGAGCTTCTATAAGAAGAGGGGTTTGCACTGAAAAGGAACGGTTTAAGGAAACTAGCGTTCCTTAAAATGATGCTATTTCTTCTTTTCCTCCTTGAACTCTGTACAAGCTGGAATTCTGTTCCCCTTTCCTCTGAGGCAGAATCTGTCAGAGAGCTCTAAGTCTACCACGTTATTAGAATTTACTGAGATTGATTCAAATGGCAATGAATAGCAATACCCACACAGCTTGCAAGGCAAGTTTAGTAAGGGCTAACTGAGCTAGTATTTACCCTGCTTCTCAGGTAGGTCTTGAAGCCTGTGCCAAGTTCTAAGCTGCTGTGGCTAGACAGCTACCAGCACCCCAGCTAGCAAAGAGAATGCTGGCTTGTGGATGTTGACCTACATGGCAATCATTGCAATGTGGACATGCCCTAGACAAAAAGGTACAGCCATTTCCATTCTATTCTCCCAAGCATTATGAAGATTGGAATGTCCAACCTTGGACATAGGATGGAGCACCAAAGCCATGGACCACCAGTTTAGCTTAACATACAGGAAATGCAGCTTGTTAAACCACCCAAATCCTTGGAATGTACCTGATCAAAAATATAGATGCTTTATTATTTTAATATTTTAAATAAAAACTATTTTCTTGAAGAATAGCTTGCAGAATATCAATATATGCAATATTTTCCATTTCATGACTTAACTAGGCAAAAATAGGATTTTGCTGTTTTAAAAGGTTGATTTGATTACCTATTGGGTTAAACACATGCATCTTCATCCCTGCAGGTAGCTTTTTCTCTCCTATATGAATATTCTCTATCTTCTGGTCAGTGGTGTTAGTTAATGTTACTTGTACAGATACCATTTGATCACCATAAATGCACCGCTGTCTTGAGAAGTGATAATGAGCTGATAATCCTTTTCCACTCATTCGATGAAGCAATTCATGAGTTTCCATTGGCACAAAAACTGGAGTACTGACCTGTTACACATAAAAAAATAAAAGTTAGTAAACATCACACTAGCCAACTCCTGTAGATAGTAGTGCAAGAAGATGTATGACACTTAAATACTCTCCTTCATGCTGAGCTATAACTCGCTCTATTCTGTGGAAGGTTTGGGTGTGCAAGGAATAACAGATCTAGAAGCATGCTGGTTTTCATGAAATTACCTTCAAGCTTTGATTCAAGCTATAGCAAAGAAAAATATTCGTGCACCTCATTTGGTGTGCATGCGCACGCGTGTGAGCGTGCGTATCTGGTTCAGTGTGCATGTATGCATGTCTGTGTGTGCATGGATGTCTGGTTCTGTGTGAGTGTGTGTGTGTGTGTGGTTCTGTGCATCCGAGTGTGTTTGTCTGCATGTGTGTCTGTGTGCACGCAAGCATGCACACGTGTTTGGTTTTAGGTGTATGTGTGCGCGCATGTGTGTTTGCATGTGTGTGTCTGGTTCTCTCCTCTCCTTTTTATCTCTCTTTTTTCCCCCTCTTTCTGCTCTTTTTCTCTTTCTCTCATCACAACATAGATTTCATAGACATTAGGGCTGGAAGGGGCCTCGAAAGATCATTGGGTCCAGCCTCCTGCTCAAGGGGCAGGAAGTCAGCCGGGGGCCCAGCAGCATAAGCATCCAAATGTTTCTTGAAAGTGTCCAGAGTACATGCTTGCACCACCTGTCCGGGGAGTCTATTCCAGGCCTTGGGGGATTGGACAGCAAAGAAGTTTTTCCTTATGTCCAGCCTAAAATGGTCTTGCAGGAGTTTGTGACCATTGGACTGTGTCATCCCTTGGGGTGCTCTGGTGAACAGAGTGTCTCCCAGTTCCTGATACATATCCCTTATGTACTTATAGACTGCCATCAAGTCACCCTGAACCTAGACTTCTCCACGCTGAAGAGTCCCATGGCTCTTTTTTAACATGCTTAACAAAAAAAGAATACACAACAAAGGTAGTATATGAAATTTTGTGTATTGTCACCAGGTTTAGAATTTTTACAAAACCTGGTATTTACTGTAAAAAAAAATAAAAGAAAAAAAGTAACATTTATGATTATTAACTATATTAATGTGCAGTGCATCCTGCCATGTACTCCCTGCCCTGTTCTTTTTTTTCTGGCCTGCTAGCACTCTCGGACCTTATAGGGTAAACATTATGTTTTTTTCAGCACTCTGGCCAAAACTGTTGCCTACCCCTGCTCCAAATATTTCCCTTGTCTGCTGTGGACCACTCCTGTGCCAGACACAGAAAGTGCAAGCAGAGAGATACTTTCTCATTCTCAACAGAAATGCTGTTTCTTGTCTGCATTTGGCACAAAGCACATTCCTTAATCTACCCATTTCACTGGGTCAGTTGACAGAGGAAAAGCAGAGTCAATGGAGATCTCTTTCTAATCAGATGCTCTCTCTCAGGAAGCAGGGCACTGAGGAAGAGAATCAATCAGAGGGGCGAAGAGAAAGTTTGGCCTTCAACATGTGTAAAAGAGAAACTACTGGTTTCCCCCTCATCTTTTAGGGACTAGGGTAGGAAGGGCGAAAGGGCATGATCCAGCTTTTACCTCTCTCCTTGGCCTGGGAGAGTGAGGAAAAACATTTTTTGATCTTGCAGGTCTCCTCACATTCTTCAATTTACAAGCATGGGAGAGAAGAAATAGGTATGTGGGTTTTTTTGTTTGTTTGTTTAAAGGCCAGGGAAAAAATGAAGGAAAGAACTGCAGAGGCTGGTTGGAAAGATACGGTGAAACAACAGTGAGGTATTTAAGGGAGCAGAAACAACAATAGGTGAATATACAAGACTGAACCAGAAAAGAGAGAGCATAGTCACTTCTGCATGGCCAGAATTAAACAGATCTACCAATGAATCATATTAGTCTCTCCAACTACTAATGTCAAGCATTCCTTTTCCATGCTTACTTCTTTTACTTTGCCCCATCCCACCTCAACTCATTCAGGTTTTTTCCTTCTTTACATCCCTCTCCCTCTCTCATATACCTGTACCTATGTAAAGATGGTAGATTACTTAAATTATACAAAATTACATGAGATTTAAGAAAATAGTTATAATATAAATATCAAGCTTCGTTGTTCATTCTTTTGCTGTCTGCTTCCTGCCATAAGCAGCAAGAACAGCAAGAACATTTGGGTTCATTCCACCCTTAATCCTAGCCTAGACCAGAGGTTAGCAACTTCTAGGAGCAACAGACTGAAATAAACCTGCTTACTCCCTGGCATGCCAGTGCTTCCGACATGTTCCTCCCAGCCTGCCACATGTGCAAATCCCTTTGTTACCGTAAAAGTGCCCCCCCCCAAAAATGCTGCTGATATCTGGGTTTTATAAGCAAAACAAAAACTGCTCCATAGGATGGATCAGGCCACAGGCTATACACTGCTGGCCTCTGCCCTAATGGGATACTGGGGGGCCAGGGCAGAAGACTTGAGGACACCTAGGACTAAATCCTATTTCACCTTCACATGCTTCAATTGCACTTTTATGAATATGTAATGGCAACTTTTAGCATTTCTGCATAGTTTAGATTTTATTTCCATCATGGCAGGATAGGTTCATCTTGTATGCACCTCAGTAGAGGAAAATCCTCCCAGTTTTTAGCCCAATAGGCAGTGGCTAGGAAGCAGGAGATCCAGGGTCTAGGCCCCCTTCATCCCAAACAGAGATTTTAGATTTCTCTAAGTACCAGGAAAACTATACAGCAAATAATGGAGGTGCCAGCTATGAAACAAGGGACTGTCCTAGAGTCTGTCCTAGAGTTAACATACTAGGCTAGAGAACTGGATTATGTCGCTGCCTCTCTCAATTTTCCTACATCCATGGTTCTCAGCCTTTTTAGATTCAGGGCATCCCTCCATAACTTTTTTGATTTTGATGTCACCCCAGTCAAGAACCACTGTTGTGCTGCCTTGGCTTACACCGTGGTGATTCCGAATCAGGGCACTGTTGCTGCCACTACAGCCAGGTAAACCTGCCCCATGTGCCTTGTACACAGCCAGACTGGGAATGGGTTGCAGCAGGAGCACATGCATTAGGGCATGCATGCAGCAGGAGCATTAGCCTGCATTAGGGCTATGTGATCAACCTAAGGCAGGCCAGGAGTGCCTACTTTTGGCACAGTCCTTCCCAGTTCAACCCTGTATGCTCCTCCCAGAGAGAGGCATGCAGGACTGCTGTCCTAGGTGGGTAAAATACTTATGCTAATAACATACTCCTCATGTTCTGGATGTTCCACTTTTGACACCCATGGCTGGATCTGAGGAGGTGTTTACTCCCAAATGCAGGGGAAGCTGATAAGAGCTGTGCTGCTAACATTAAGACTGCTTACAGATGTGAAAAAACAAAAATGGCACTTTACTTTCAGCTCAGCATGCCCCTACACCAAGTGCAACACATGCCCAGAAGAGGCATTGTGTTAGTTTGACCCAATTTGCCCAACATCTACATAGATCAGGGGCTACAGCAGGGCTTGTTGGTGCTTTCATCTAATAGCTGATTGAATCAGCTATTAGATAAAATTGCCAAAAAGCCCTGCTGAAACCCCTGATCTATACAGTTGCTGGGGAGCTGAATCTAACACAATACCTCTTTCAGTAAAGCGCTGTTTTTTTGGGGGGACGGTTTTCATGACTGTCAATGGCGTAAGTGCCTTAAAAATGAACAGTATTTGGAAAAAAGCAGTACCTAGAAGGCTCCATTAAGCACTCAAAATTAGTGGATACTTGCCAATTTTGACTTTAATCTGTTCCCAATTTGTAAAGTAGGGATAATACTGCTTAGGGGTGCACTGATAGATATTTTCTGGGCGGATACTGATGGCTGATTTTTAATGAGCCATATCAGCTGATAATGATCCAATTACAGATATGTAGCTGGGCAACTTGGAGAGCAGTGTCTGGCTGGTAAGTCTGTTGTGGGGGAAGGGGCGAGGTGGGAGGGGAAGGAGGGAGGTAGATTGAGGCCCCAGAAGTGAGGAAGGGAGTAGGGCTGCAGTAGGCGGTGCCCAGCCAGGGCAGAGTGCAGCATGGAGCCGTGAGTTCCAGCCGCTATGCACACCCTGGGAGGACATGTGACCCCCGATTTATGCATGGGGTGAGGGTGGGCTGTTGCTACGGGCTGGGGTGGCTCCAGGCTCTTCCTGGTGGGAGGCTGGGCCGGGCTGCACTGAGGGCAGGCAACAGTGGTGCTAGGAAGGGGGCTACAGGAGGGGGCTGCAGCTACCTCACAATTCCCCATAGCTTCCCTCCCAGCATCGCTGCTGCCCACCCCAGCTCCCCACCGGAAAGAGCCCAACACCACCCTGGCTCTAGCCCACAGCGGCAGCCTGCCCTCACCCTGTGCACAGATCCAGGGGCACATGTTCCCCATGCCCTTCTGGGGTAAGCATAGAAGCGGAAGCCATCAGCCCTTCACTGCACCACCTGGATGAGCTGCTTGCGGCTCCGTCCTGCGCTCAACCTGAGATGGGCAGTACCTACCCTTGCCCCAGTCCCACTCCCTCCCTTGCCGCTGGGGCCTCAATATGCCCTCCACTGCACCCCTTCTCTCACAACAGCCTGCTCTCCATGCTGGTGAGCTGTGCTCCTGGCCACCTGCCTGCTGTACTGAAGCTGCACACATGCATGGGGCATTTATCAGTGACATTATCAGCCACATTGACCAAGAAAAGCCAATTGCCAATACTGTTAATTTTCCTTATATTGGTGCTGATCTGATATGGGACAGATGTATCGGTGTACCACTAATACTGCTGTATCACTTCACATGGAAGTTTGTAAAATTAACTTAACGTTTGTGAAGTTCTCATAATGTGGTGATGGGGGCCAAAGAAAAACATGAGGAAATTATTCATTTTGTATTCAGACCAGTACTTTGGTGGTGTGCAGTAAATAAGGCATTGGAGTACACACTGAATGGCTGGGGATAAACTGAAAAAATTAATAGTTGTTCATTCAGAGAGCACAGTCCATCCAATACAGTGAAT